AGTGGTCTAATCTTGAGATTACGAGCGCATGCACCAAGGTAGTGAGTGCCCCAACATCAAGGCAGGACCGCAGCTGGGCTATCCGCCTGAGATGAAAAAAAGGCGCCGTGAGGCTTGAGTCTGGCCAGGATGCTTTGGCTACTCGCCCCCGGCCGTGGCGGAGGCAGCGGTCGCCCAGCGCCATGAGACTTGAGCTGGCCGGGTTTTGGCTCAAGCCTCCCAGTACTGGGTGACCGCTGCCTCCAATCGCGGCGGCGGGCGACTGCCCCAGGAGGTCTCCCAGGGCTTCCCCGCGACCATTGTAGACCTGAAGGTCCCCCGCCACCGTGATCGGTGCCTCCAGGCTTTCCCGGGGGGTAGACGCCCCTCCTGGGGGTCCAGTTACCGGCAGAAAGCAGCAATAATTTGAAATTATTTCTGATAAACCTGAAATAAGAAAGTGCAGAAGCAGAACTACAGTTCAATATTAAGGCAAAAACTATTTCTCCAAAAGAATTAAAGAACTTTAATGTGAAAAAATAGAAATTGTTAAAAAATTGTTGTGCCTTGGTTCAGTCATCAATCAACAGGAAAGAACCTCAAGTGCAAGGATGTGTCACTGGAAACCAAGGTGAACATCTTCTACACCGATAGTATTTCCAATTACTTATGTATGGATATGAGATCTGAATAGTGGAGAAAGCTGACACGAAAATAAATAAAATCTGAAATGTGATGTTGCAGATGAGCTTTCCGGATACTATTGGTTACCAGAGAGTTAGATACTGTACTGAGTTCTAGATCAGTTTAAGCTGGAATTTTTCCTAGAAGCAAAATAACTAAAGGATGGGACTATTATAATTTGGTCACATCGTGAAAAGACAAGGCTCACTGGAAAAGGCAACAGAAAAAGAGGAAGACCACATAAGAGATGAATTAATTTGTAAGAGTCGAACACTGCTGTTGATTATAAGGCTTTTTGGAGGTTATTAATTCATAGAGTTGCCATAAGTTGGAAGCAACTTGACAGTGTGACAGCAACAACAGCTGTGAGCAAACTCCCACCCTTCTAGTTTACTTCTTCCTAGAAAAACAGAGAAAGTATGTACAGTTTGTTTTTGGCTTCTTTCTTTAGTTTGTTAGAAGGGAATAAATCAGTAGCAAGAAAGCCAGATGACATGATAAATCAACTGTGGGGTGAAACTGATTTGTTTAGCTAGTCATATTGTGAAGAAGAATGATTGAGCAGTGAGGACAAATATGCTCATTCATTACAAGGTTGAACTCTCATGGCTTCAGTGTTGAGTAATTTGAACAGACTCTTTATTTTCTTGGGATATGTGAATAAACTTCAGTTGAGGACATCCAGTGAAATCTTAAGTCTTTTTTGTTGAATACAGTTGCTATGGAGTTAGTTGATTTTCCTTTTACAAAACGTTCCTAATTTAAATATGTTACAGGTGCTTAATCAAGTGGACAACAAATTTATTGCTTGTTTAATCGACACTAGAGCAGACAAGAGTGAAAAGGCAGGTATGGGTACTGACAAATAACTTTTTTAAACTTTGGTAGTACATAGGAAAATATATATACAGTGTATTGGATCACAGTAGTAGTCCTTCTGGTGTAACATTCTTGTTCATGTTGTTTACCAGGAATTGTAGCCAGTTTTAATTATATGCTACTACAAATGTAATATCCAGATAGTGCAAGGCATCTATTTATCACAGTTGGTGTTTCCTTGGAGATTGGGATGTAATAAGGGGTTATGGGGTGTTCACTTAGGTCGGTTGTACATCTCCTCGGTTGGAGGAGCAGAGCTGTAGTGTTGATGCCTCCACTGCCACCATGTTTGGCTGTTTGGTTAGTGCAGTTACTCAGCAAGTAGCAGTAGATATATCTGTACTGGACTTGCCTGACTGTGAAAGCATCAAACATGTTATGGTCTCCGTGCTGGGAACCCTTGCCTTTCCATACTTCTGCTGTCCTGATGAAAACAGAGTGGTGGTGTGGCAGCTCCTGGGATTTGTCAAATCTGAAAAATCAAGTGCCATGTTCAAAATTCCCTGCCTAAAATCTGGGAAAGGCAGCCAACATCCAGTTGGAGCCATTAATCTCCCTCAAAAGCCATCTGTAGCTCTGAATGGGACCAGAGCACAGAGTGCTGTCCTCTGAAGATGCCGGCCACAGAGACTGACGAAACGTTAGGAAGAACAACCTTCAGAACATGGCCAAAGAGCCCGAAAAACCCACAACAACCATTAGATCCCAGCCGTGAAATCCTTCGTGAATATACATGAATAAAGGCTTTAAAGATATCATTTAAAACCCATCCCAGAATAAGAGCCCAAATAAACATGAACAGGCACAATGCATAAAATACAGCAAAGATTATAAAAACTAAAGACACACCTGAGAGAGGTGCTGAACCAAACCACATGAATTATGTGGATTTGGTCACTGCCTTTTGTATCTTCAACATTTGAATAGATTTTTCTTTCCTTTCAGTGCTTTTACATTATGTCCACTGATTAAAACTAATTTACAGGCACAAATATTGATTTAATCTCAGAATGTATTCCATCCAGAAAACATAAGACAAGGCATTATTTGTAAATCTTAATACAGAGTTATGGACATGCACATGCCTCTTTTAATTCTCTTTTTCTCTGTACACTTTGGGGACAGGATATGCTGCCTGATTGATCTCATTTGAGATAAGTACAAAAGAATGGGCAGCCAAATTATATTACAAAAATGTTGAGTTGCATGGGATTCCAAGGGTCATCTAATCCAATCCCCTGCAGTGCAAGAAATCCAAAACATAGAATTAAAGAATTGGAAGGGATCCAAAGGTCATCTAGTCCAACCCCCTAATTATTTAATTAACATCAACAAATTAAATGATTTTCACCAGCATTTATGACAATAAATCAGTCTCCCACCTCCAACAGTCATCATTAATTAATTTTCAAACATAATATTTCAAACTCTGGACTTAATTTGTAAATTTGATTGCTGGAGTATGTATCTCTGCAGAAATCCTAATGTGAGAGGAAGCATTGGTTAATGACAAAGAATATGCTTTTCATTTAATGTCTAGTTTGACCCTCAATGCTGAGTTGACTATTTTGCCTCATATGTTTCAACGATGAACCGCCTGTTCTCTTTATGTTGAATAATATGCTTCTATTCAAGTTATAACAGTTTTGCTTGTGATCCTCTACTGGAGTACTCTAATGTAGTGAATAAGGCCTTGGGTTTTCCATTGAAAACATCATCCTCTAGGTATCCTTGCATAGTTGCTATTTTATATCCTTGACTACTTCTTGAGGTAGAGATAAAATTGGATTCAAATAGTATCACATGATATATTCTTATGTACAATTGTCATAATGATTAAATCTTTTGGCCTGTTGGTTTTGCACAGTTTCAGGTGGAAACCTTCTTGTGCTGGTTGATCAACATGCAGCCCATGAGCGTGTCCGCCTTGAGCAGCTTATCTCAGGTATAGATCCAGATGGTTAAAGAAAGTAGTTTTATTGCTGGTAGATTAATGACAGGAATCTAGAAACTATACTGATACATCACAGTAAATTTGGTAAGTTCTGCAGAGAATGAATTATTTCATCATGTGCTTGCTTAATGAGGACCAGCATCCTGAGCAACAGTGAAAGTCATGAGGATTTCTTCTAATTTTTTAATTCCGTTGTTTTATCACAACATGAGTCACCTTCACTGTGTTTAGCAAAGGGTATTGTTGTTTCAGGCCTTAGGAAATTCTGGGCACAGCTGTGTAAAACAGGGCACTGGTCTGTTTTGTCTGTCCCAGTTCATTGACCTCTGTCAACACAAGCTGTACATTTCCTACAAGGAAGAGGCCAAGAGAAACTTTTCAGGTTGAAATCTGGCAAGGAAAATCCTGAAAAATGCAAAAACTTCTCTGAGACTGTGAGAAATATTTGTTGCAGCATTTAAATGGAGCCATTATACTTGTAACAACTGCTCTGCTATTTTGTGAGATGATAATCTGTTCATGAAATGTCATAATAATAGTTGCCTATTGGGATTATTGCCCATGGTTGATCCTGGCTGGAATTCCTAATGTCTCATTAACAACTGTGCTTCTAAAAACAGAAAATATTATTACTTGAATAGTATAGGTCTTCCCTTAGCTGCTGGAGAAAATAATAGTTCACTTCTTGTTGGATGTACCCTTCTCCCTTCAACAACACTAAGGTGAGGGGTACTGTGCATAACTCTTACGTTCCCCCAAAAAACTGCAGAACATAAACAGTTGATTAACACACAAACATCGCCCTACACACACTATATGAGTTTACTGTATTAATTGTACAGCATGCCCCAGCACCTTCCCCAACCACCACGTGAAGCCACCAGGCCACGAGAAGGGGGTAGCCTCACTGCCAACAATAGGGCACAGGTCTGAGCCCCCCTTTTCTCAGGCCACATCCTGGAAGCAAATAGCAGTCGAATATTTATTTAAATGTTTGTTAGTTAGAATGTTTATATATTTATGGGGGGAGAACTGTGCTATTTTAACCTATACAATTCAAGGGAGAAATGTATATTATACTCAAAAATCATAGGACTATAAGGCCAGGCACTGAGCACAATTCCTATATATAAGTCAAAGAAAGCATGTGTTATTTTGTCATTAGATTTGTATGAAAAGCAGCCAGAAGCATTGGGCAAGAAGAAATTGTTGGCCTCCATTGTTCATCCCCCACTAGAGATTGAGATCACAGAGGATCAGAGGAGACTTTTGCGGTTGGTATTGGCCAGACTGTAAAATATATTGTAAAATATATAGTTTTGACCAAACTCCGGGAGGCAGTGGAAAACAGGAGGGTCTGACGAGCTGTAGTCCATGGGGTCACGAAGAGTTGGACATGACTTATCAACAACAACAACATATTTTTTGAGAATGGGAAAACTTCCAGACAAGACTTTCATTTTTTATTGAACTCAATGAGTCAAATCCTGTTGCGCAGGGTCTACCTATGCAACAGGAATGGCATCATTAACAACAGCAAATTGCCATTAATTAAAAGCTTCTTTTTGTGATTTCAGGATGCATATGACTTCATTTCATTGTGTGCAAGCTGTGTGTTTCTCACAATTGCAAACAGAAGTTTTTACCCTTTTTCCCCCAAAATAAGACCTAACCTGAAAATAAGCCCTAGTATGATTTTTCAGGATGCTCATCATATAAGCCCTATCCCCAAAATAAGCCCCAGTTAAGTGAAACCCCACCCTCCACCATTGTGCAGCATTGTGCAGCAACCAGAAGATGATGACTGTAAAATAAAACATCCCCTGAAAATAAGCCCTAATGTGTTTTTGAGAGGAAAACTTAATATAAGATCCTGTCTTATTTTCGGGAAAACAAGTTAGTGGCAGTCTGCTGCTACTAATAACATCATCGCTATTATGCAGATGAAACTGTACAATAGATTTTCAGACAATGGGTTGAAATTCTATTGTACAATGTATATGTCTTTCTGGTAGACATATACAGGAATATGCAGTAAGACTTTGAGACATTTCCACTAGACTGAATACTCTTTCTTCTCATGAGACAGCTACAATTGCACTATAAGAGGCCTTTGGGATTGATATTTACAAAGAATCTGGTCATGTTTTGTCTAGAGAAAATAAAGATTAAACTGGAGTCGATACACTGATAGAACGTGGCGGTTTTTTAAAATAGAGGTGCTCCCTCACTAGTGCAAGGCATCTATTTATCACAGTTGGTGTTTCCTTGGAGATTGGGATGTAATAAGGGGTTATGGGGTGTTCACTTAGGTCAGTTGTACATCTCTAGAAAGGCTCAGCTTGGAGGAGCAGAGCTGTAGTGTTGATGCCTCCACTGCCACCATGTTTGGCTGTTTGGTTAGTGCAGTTACTCAGCAAGTAGCAGTAGATATATCTGTACTGGACTTGCCTGACTGTGAAAGCATCAAACATGTTATGGTCTCCGTGCTGGGAACCCTTGCCTTTCCATACTTCTGCTGTCCTGATGAAAACAGAGTGGTGGTGTGGCAGCTCCTGGGATTTGTCAAATCTGAAAAATCAAGTGCCATGTTCAAAATTCCCTGCCTAAAATCTGGGAAAGGCAGCCAACATCCAGTTGGAGCCATTAATCTCCCTCAAAAGCCATCTGTAGCTCTGACTGGGATTTCTGTAGAGCTGCTGGAACTCTTGGCTCTACTGTAGCGAGTGCCATTGTCCCATTGGTCAGTTCATTTAGAGAGTTCAAAAGATGCTTTTGTTGTCACTCAAGCCCAAATGCCATCCAACTTTTCAGGAGCTTTTATTCCTGCAAATGTTCTGAAATGGTATGAAAATTGCCATCAAAGATTAACTCAGAAAACTTTCTTTTGGAAGGAGGTCTTGAGTTAATTTTTTCTTAAATGTACCAGAGCACCTGGTCACAGGAATTTAAGCCTTATAAAGAAAATCTTGATGGATGGATTATAAGTGTGAGAAAAAGTTTAGGGAGGCACAACTGTAGCTTTTGTAACATTTGCATAGATTTGTTCGAAAATGCAAAATATTTGTCATAGTATGTGATTTTCCTCCCCTTTATATTTTACATTTAGTGTGCTTTGCTTTGTGATTGGTGCTCCCCCAAGTGATGAAGGACAGACATCTTTTTAGTCATAGCATGTGATTTTTCCTCACCTTCATATCTTGCATTTAGCATCATTCTTTTGTGAATGGTTATTATGAGGAAAATACAAGCTTAATTTACAAGTCACCAGGGATAAAGATTTTGTTTAATGCAGCAGTCACCAACCTTTTTGGGACTGCGGACCGGCTGACTCTCTGAGCCTCAGGCGCATGAGCGAAGTAGTGGGGCAGCGTGCATGTGCATTCACCAGCACCACCATGAGCACTCCTGCACCCTTTGCGCATGCGCAGGAGTGCCTGCCCGCATGCACGCCCACCCCTTCATGTGGGCACTCAGCCGCAGGTGTGAAGGGATGGGGGAACACTCATGCCGGCGCTGGCATGCGTACCCATGCACAAAGCAGGACACAGACCGGGGGTTGATGACCTCTGATTTAATGGATAGTATAACTTAGAATTCTTATTTTTAAAATGTTGTTAAAATGGGAAATGTTTAGTCACTATATCTATTGAAGACAGGATGAAAAGCATACGGTCAAAGTTACAGGCAGGTAGATAAATGTTTGTGCTTGGAGAAATAGCTTAAGTAATTGTGCAATATATCAGTGGAAAAGTGTAGGGAGAATCTGCAATTCTATTCTGTGAAGATTCTCAAAAAAGTAGAGCATGCACCTATTTTTGTTCTGAATCTTTCATACTTCTGAAATGCTGAGGCACTTCATGTTTGGTGACAGTATTGTTTCCCCATGCAGGAAGTTTAGGGGGACTAGGCATGTTGTTTCATATCTGAATGTTACAAGTAACAATACAGTTGTACTCCTGTGTTTCAAAAGTACTATAAACCTGTAAATTTCTTTCTTGAAACTCTGGCCTGAATCATACTGTTACTTCTAATTTGAGTAGACACATTGAATCAGTTCTAGTCTAGTTAGTCAGCACTTACATATCCCATTGAATTGGGTTCAGTGGTCTAACTGTAGTTGGGATTAACATTTGAGCTCATAAATTAAATTTTATGAACTTTCATAATTCATTGTGTTTAAAAAAAAATCTGCTTGAGCTAGTCAAAAGAAATCACATTTCTAATAATACTATTTCTGAAAAGTCAAAAAGACTGATCACCCAGTTTAGAATCTTCTGTTTAATTTTTTATTTCCAGATGCTGCCGCAAAGGTCTGGAGGACTTAGGCCTTGAATTATTCTTTCCAGAGAACAATCTCTCTCAGGTTCTCGTTGGGAAAGTGCCACTGTGCTTTGTGGAAAGAGAAGCCAATGAATTGCGCCGTGGAAGGCAGACAGTGGCTAAGGGCATTGTGCAGGTAAGATACAGTTGTAGGTAATTAATTATTTTCCTCCTAAATAAGTTATGCTCATCAAGTGGCACACATGCTCTGTCACCTTTACAGTTTTTATGCCCCTGTCCTGCAGTTCCTTTTAGGGGTTAGCATAGTCTTAATCCAGGATTTAAATAACTTATGGAGATCTGATGTTTCCATTTAGAATATCTGATCCCTGATTAAGTCCTTTGCAAATGCACCACCATTTATTTTAACTTTGGGATTGCTTCTCAGTATCAGGAAATACAGGAAACACTTCCTAACTGTTAGAGCAGCAAGACAGTGGAACCAGTTACCTCGAGAGGTGGTGAATGCTCCAACACTGGAGGCATTAAAGAGAAACTTGGCAACCACCTGCCAGATATTCTTTGATTTGTATTTCTGCATCGAGCAGGGGGTTGGACTTGATGGCCTTATAGCCCCCTTCCAAACTTCACTGTTCTATAATTCTATGATTCCTGAAGTGGAGGTTCAATCAACATAATCTCCATAAAGCTGTCACCAAAGCCAAAAAGAAAGAAGCACCATGTAGAACATCTTGTTAATAATGATAAACCTGCTATACTAAGCTTTCCATATTAAGACTTGTGAGCTGGTGGTCATTCTCTTTGCTTTCCTTCCAGCTTAGCTTACATATATATTGTTACATATGTGTGAGACAGAAGGCGAGAGGGATGCCCCACTCACTGGAGAGCCATCCCTCCCCCACAAGAAGAATAAGGAGGAGAGTCCCCAGTCAACACCAGAACCTGCAGCAGAAGCTCAGCAAGGGTCAGAAATAGAGTTGACTGAGACATGGAAGGTGTGACAATGAGAGAGGTCCAGGAGGAAAAGGCGGGAAAAGAGAGAAAAAAAAGAGGGTGGAATTTGAGGCAGGAACAAGGAAGAGGTAAAAAGGAAGGAGAGTCAGTTGTCGCCAGGCTGGGAATGGGTGTGGATGGAGGACCCCAGGACAGGATGCTGGGAGAGGCTGAGAGTGCATAAAGAGGAGGCGGATTACAGAAGAAGAAGGGAGATTCCCCCCAGACCCTCTTATTGGGGAGAAGCCGAGGCGAGAGAGTGGAGGAGGAGGTTGAGAGAAGAGAAGGAAAGAGTGGAGAGAGAAAGGAAAGGCTAGAATGGAGTATAAGAGAAATGAGGAAGAAGAACTACAGGGAGGACCCTGGGAGGATCGAGACCCAGAGAGACAAACTGTGTGGGATGACGAGACCGTGCCCTTGCTGGAGGGTTTGATGGGGCAGGCCGTGAAAGACTGGGTCCCTGCTGATTTACCAGGACCATAGAGCAATAGTTATGGCAAACCGTTCCTGTTAGAAGATTGGAGACCCCTTCTGGGCCCATTGGCAGAACGAGAAAAGACTCATAATCATGTCACAGATACTTGTTTATTGTTAAATGCACCAATAAATCTTTCACCTGTTTTGAAGAAATACAAATCTACTGATTTCTCTGAACCAAAAGAGGAGCCTAAAGCGGAACCCTCACAATATGCTGTATTATCTATCTTGGAAGAAGGGCAGTTATAGTTTTTGACACTGATAATGATGAGAGCTTTATATGAAATGCATAGTGCAAGCCTCAACCAAGGTTGCACTTACAGTCATGGCCAAAACTATTGGCAACCTTGCAATTCTGTCAGAAAACGCAACCCTTCTCTCAGAAAATTGATGCAGTTGGAAATGGTTTGGTAATCACATGTTCATTTCTTTGGTTTATGTTGGAACAACACAAAAAAGAGAAGAAAAGGCAAATCTGATACAATTCTTCACAGAAACCAAAAAATGCACTGGCCAAAATTATTGGCACCCTGTCTAAATTGTAAGAAATAATTGCTTTTCAAGCATGTGATGCTCCTTTAATTTGTATTTAGACACAGCTGTTGCAAGTAAGAGGTGTGGGCAATATAGTAATCATACTTGAAACCAGTTAAGATGGAGAAAGTTGACTCAACCTTTATGTTGTGTGCGACACTGAGCATGGAGAAAAGAATGAAGTGTAAAGACTTGTCTGTGGATTTGAGAGAAAAAAGTGTGGAAAAACATCGACAATCTCAAGGCTACAAGTCCATCTCCAGAGATCTTAATGTTCCTGTGGCCACTGTGCACAATATCATCAAGAGGTTTAGAGCCCATGGCACTGTAGCTAATCTCCCTGGATGGAAGAGCAAAACTACTCAAAAATTACAATGAAGGATTGTTCAAATGGTAGATACAGAACCCAGATTAACTTCCCAACAAATTTAAGCTGATCTGCAGAGACAGGGTACAACAGTGTCAGCTCGCACTATCCGTCGCCATCTGAATGAAAAGGGACGCTATGGTAGGAGACCCAGGAGGACACCACTGCTGACACAAAGGCATAAAAAAGCAAGGCTGGAGAATGCCAAAACTTATGTGATAAAACCACAATCCTTCTGGAAGAACGTACTGTGGGCAGCTGAGACAAAAGCAGAGCTTTTTCCTCAAGGACATCATGGCACTGTTTACAGAAAAAGAAACGAGGCATTCAAAGAAAAGAATACAGTCCGTACATGGTGGAGGATCAAATATGTTTTGAGGTAGCTTTGCTGCTTCTGGCACTGGATGCCTTGACTGTGTGAACAGTATCATGAAATCTGATGATTACCAAAGAATTTTGGGGTGCAAAGTGTCAGAAAGCTGTGTCTCCACCAGAGGTCATGGGCCTTCCAGCAGGACAATAATTTTGGCCAGTGCATTTTTGGTTTTCTGTGTGGGATTGTATCAGAATTGACTTTTCTTCTCCGTTGTTCCAACGCAAACCAAAGAAATGAACATGTGAGTACCAAAACATTTGTTTTGTCTTCGTAGAAGGCTTCTTAGTGTCCACGTACTTTCTTTCATGGCATCTGATGAAGTTTTTGTAGTTAAGTGCAGTCAGACCCTTTGGATTTTTACATTTCAGTTGCTGCATGTTTGATTATCCCTTTTCAGAGGATAGGAAAAACTCTGTGGAGAGAATACAACCTCATTTCCCTGATTTCTATTTTTCTGTACTTTTTTCAAGGACTTAATTCAAGAACAAATTGAGGTATGGCCTTTCTGCATGTCATGTGTTGTGAACTGAAGACGATTCTCACATAACCTGCTAAAGAGACAATAAGTATTTTAGCCACCCTCTGCATGTTTTAGGAACATGAGATTAAAGCAGACTCTTTTAATCAGTGGTCAGAACAGGCAAAGGGGAATGGAAAGGTGCTTATCATTCAGCTGGTGCTGATTTACCAGAGCCTTCAGGGATTAAGTTGGCAGGCTCTGGAGGCTTCCTTATTGGTTCTAATGTATGTATATAGTTGTTAATGTTTTAAATGATTTTAAACACTCCATTGTTTTTATCTCTGTACTCTGCTCAGAGATTGCCAAGATATAAAGTGGTATAAAATATTCTGAATTAAATAAATAATTGTGTTACTCCTTCCAGAACTCGGTTACCCAGTACATTTCTTACTCAGTCCACTTATAAAAGGGAATTCAGCTTCCCTGTGGTCCAGAGATGAACATGTGTGGCTCATGGATTTCTGAACATTGCCCACCCTAGTGTAAGATTAGGAGTCAGAAAAGTATGCTATGCTCCACACGGGGTGTTTCTTGTATTATGTAGGATTCTAAAACAAATGAGAGGAATTCAAATGTACATGAAGGGTAATGTGCGAGTCTGATTTAGCATCTTCTGTAATGAAGAGAGTAAAGGGAAGGGGGCAAGAAACAGTAATAATCAGTACCATGAGGTGTTGCTGTGTGCTCCCTGCTAAGCACCTCACTTCCAGCTCTAATGTGACTCTCGAATACTAATTCTAACAGTTGTCTTTAATTGTTTGGAATTTCCATCCTGTATCTTCTTTAGAAAGTCAAATAATGGCATTCTGTTGCTTTCAGCTACTACAAGCAACAGGTGGGGCACAAGGGACTTTGCCACTAACAATTCAGAAGGTCCTGGCTTCCCAGGCTTGCCATGGTAAGGAGTTGTCTTGTGCCACCTCATTGTTTTACAGCCAACTTTCTCTTACCTTGAGAGGCGAGGAGAACTTTCATTAGAAATAGAAGAGCTGAATAATGCCTGTTGTTCCAGAGCCTGAGGCATGAGGCATAATTTTCTGTCTTTGTTTTGAAGAAAGCGTTTTTGCCATACTTTTTGAAGGTGTATCAGAATAAACACTGCCTTTATGAGTGCCAAGAGTGGTTGGCCATGACTGGAAACAGAATACTGGACTAGATGGACCTTTGGTCTAGCCAAGCAATTTTGGTGTACCTCATGGACAAGACTGCAAATTTCATTGACTGAAATTCTGTTGCTTAGCATAGTAAATTGCACTAGAGCAGAACCATTGAATCAGTGGGGATTGGAAAAATCAACTCCTCCATAAATTCTTGTGATGCAAATGGGCCTACTCTAGTTGCAACTTACTACAGTAATCAAAACTAGAGTAGACCCATTTGAATGAATAGAATTTATGGAGTTGACAACTCTCAAAATCTGTAATTCAAGGGGCCTATTCTAGTCCAACTTGCTACATTAAGCAATGGGTTCAGCCCTTGTCAACAAGCAATATGTAATGTTCCTAGCATATTAGTTAAGATTTCTGATGCTTTTACCTAGGATCTGTCTCTCTTATTCACTGTTGATTATGGTTTTGATTATTTTAATGCTGTCAACACTTGTATGAAAAGACGAGAATACTTTCAATCAGTGCTATCTAGTTTCATTTGTATCAAGAGGACCCATTCTCTTTCGTCTGCATTCATTTGCCATTTGTGACTTGGTCTTCTTTTTAAATGTACTGTACAAGAAGGTGCCTGCTGTTCAATGTAGGTGAATGCAAAGACTTGTTCTAGTGGAGTCTAGACCAATTTTTTTTAAAGAGACTGCTAAAAACATAGTTGTTCAGACAGGACTTTCTGAACTTTAGAACATCTTAATATGGTGGTGCTTTTAACAATTACATCTTCAACCCCTCCGCCATGCCCTTTTATTACCTTATTTTATTTATTGTTGTTTTATTTTTATTTTTAATTTTGACATTCAATGATTTGTTCTGTATTGTTGCTTATGTTGTTGAATTTGTAAACTTCCCAGAGTGGCCTTCATAGCCAGATGGGCGGTAGAAAAATAAAAGAAATAAATAAAATTATGCACCTTTAAAGCCTGGAGAAAGGCACTCTTCTAATATTGTAATAGTTTCTACACAGTCTTCTCTTTTTTAGGTGCTATTAAATTCAATTACAGCTTGACTTTGGAAGAGAGCTGCCATCTCATGGAATCTTTGTCATGTTGTCAGTTACCCTTCCAGTGCGCTCATGGAAGACCCTCCATGCTGCCTCTTGCAGATATAGACCATCTGTGGCAGGAGACTGAGGTATACTACTGTGAAATAGGTGTACATTTTCTCAGCTGTGCCTAATCTGCTTGGACCATATTTGGTCCTTTCAGAAGATATATTTGGTATCTGTATATCTATCTATATTTATTTGCAAGTGAAATAAGTGAGCAGTCTTAGAACTCCCATCAGTGGAGCAGATAGAGTTCTCCAAACAATATGGACCATTCATTGCCTCATGTATCATTGCATCATGTATAATATTAGTAACAGCCAGGTAGACTGCCTCTTGGCATTTTGGATAAAAACCAAGGAATATGTTAAAAGTCTGCAGCCTCATGAGAATTGGATCAATTGTTGCATTGCAGTCTAGCACAAAATTTGCATACACCTGGAGTCCTGTGCAAACATCAGGCCTCCTTAAAATTCAGTTTTCTTACATGAGTGCCTTGGAATAATTCCTGCAAAGCAATTCCAGTAAGGAACTGGAAGTGAAGATCCATATGGATTTGTAAGAATGGACTTATGAAAAAGAGTCAGCAAAAATCTATTATACTTCTCAGAGATCTTTGTAAATATCACATGACTTTTCAGGTCTCTTACATTTTCCCCTTTCAGTGTAACTGCAAGCTCCTTATATAACAGACCTGTTGTAAAAGCATTAAACATCCTGATAATCCTTAACTAAAAATTAGTAATACATGCCAGTTAGTAACATAGTGATACTAATATCAATGCATAGTTGTACTATGTTTTAAGTAGTACCTGCTCACCCCATATAATAAACCAAGAACAATATTCCTGACAGTAGAGGAAATGATTTTAAAAGTTTATTTCATGGGTTTTTCACTGAATATTGAGGCACTATCAGTAATGAGTGACATCACTTTTCTTTCTTCTTGTCTGCACTGTTTTGCAATTCTGTGTCATAGATGCCTGTCTAGAACATAGGGTGACAACAGCAGGAACATCTTGATGTTATCTGATTACCACTTTGCACAGGAAACAAATTGGTATGGGCCAGATTATTTTCTTAAGATGTTTGTTACTGAGTCAATAATATTCTCTTTTTTTTCCCAGTGCAAACCCAATTTGCCTAAACTAAGGAGAATGGCTAAAGCTTGGCAATTATTTCAGAAGGAAAAGGACTCTTCTGTGGAAGTATAAGTTGCAGCTCAGAACTGCAGTGAATCCCGGTGCTACCTAACACGTTGGTTTTGGGCTAAGCATGTCCAAAAGGTCCCTCACAATTTGCTGTGAAAGGGCAGCAACAAAAGGAACTCTGATGCTCTGAAAGCAGGGGCAAGTACTTATTTAATTCTTAGTTCTTAGCCAGGATCTAAGAATTCTTCTCCGAGGAAATGCAGAACGATTCAACTTGCACTAGAACTAGAAGCGCTTTGGAAATGCTGTTCTGAAATCTGTTGTTTTAAACCAACCTCATAACTTCCAAGAAACCAGAAGTGAGGAACAGCTGTATGTAGGTAAAATTGATTCACATGGGTATAATATTTAACTGCTATTTAAATCAAATTATTTGAATGCCTATCATTTTTATATCAGCTTGGAATATAAATTATATTTAAATGTGATTTACATTTGGGAAATTGTAACACAAAGTAGTGCTACATCCTGGATTGCCATTAAAAACAAAAAACAAAAGAGCAATTTATCTCAACATTGATTGTAGCCTTTTGATAATACTTTACACCATGGGTAACCTTAACTTGTCTGAAAGTATTAAAATAGCATCAAGACTTAATTGGAAAAAAGGGAAGCAGAGTCCTCTCTCACTATATTAAAGAGGCTTAACCTCTGTATTTCTATTCTGCCCTCATTTTCCAGGAGCATGCGAGTCAAAGAGCTGAGTTCTGTGCCGATGAATTTATCATCACAGGTTTCAAGTAATTCTGTTTGGTGTTTAGGCTGATCACTGAATTCTGGCCTATGTGGAAAAGAGTGTTGCTTACTTTAAATACACCAGAAAGGAATCATTCTTTGTCTTTCAGTACAGCTGCCAGAACAGATAAATAAGGTAAATTTTTGTCCAGTCGTGTTCGACTCTAGGGGGCGGTGCTCATCCCCATTTCCAAGCCATAGAGCCAGCGTTTTGTCCGAAGACAATCTTCCGTGGTCACATGGCCAGTGCGACTTAGACACAGAACGCTGTTACTTTCCCACCAAAGTGGTCCATATTTATCGACTTGCATTTGCATGCTTTCAAACCGCTAGGTTGGCGGGAGCTGGGACAATTGATGGGCGCTCACTCCATCGCGTGGATTCGATCTTACGACTGCTTGGTCTTCTGACCCTGTAGCACAGGCTTCTGCGGGTTAGCCCGCAGCGCCACCACATCCCTTAGATAAATAAGAGTGGAGGAATATTCTAGCACATAGAAAAAAAGCCTGGGTCAAACCAATCCCTTTCAGTGTAGTAATGCTGTGTTCTGGAGTTCAAGGTTTTATTTAGCCATAAGGATAAATAAAATATTTTATTTCCATAAGGATAACAAAATATTTTGTGATATAAATTATGTCCATAGTTTAAAGTTCACGGTCATCTGGGTGGTACAGCTCGCTCATGAGACGATAGATGTAGGAAGGGGCATTGCCTCCAATGTTTGAAATGAAGAGGGTGATAAGTTCTGGAGGAACATAGTCAAAGACAGGACAGTAAACGTTAACCTTAGACAGTATCTCTCCTGAAAAAAAATAAAATCACATTATTAATAACTGAGCAGAAAGATAGATCAAAGTAGCCAATAACCTACTAAGCTTCTGTTAAGTAGAATACTCCATGGGTATAATAATGCAAGATCATTCCAAATGTGGAATCAGTGAGCTCCATGAAGAAAGCCCACCTTCTGTGCCAGTGCTTGTGTGAGTGTTATGGTCCAGCATTACTGTACTGGTGGGACTTTCTACTCACTGGAAGTTCTGTAGGATATTGACCAGTGTTGGTAATTAGACAGATACTTCAGTCCCACTTAAATAAATCAGTGTAAAAATGTGGTTATAGCTAAGTGAAACTCCACTGATTTCCATTATTCAACTAATAATGTAGGGCCTAATCCAAAATCTAAAGTTTTTTAGTGGAGTTGGTTTATTTACTTGCAGCATTTATATCCCACTGTTTATATAGTACATTTTCCAGAGCAATTTAATATTCATTTAGAGAAAGGTAAGAGAAGACGATTGCTGTCCTCAGCCTTATACTGTGGGCGGGGCAGGGGGGATTGAAACAAGGCCTTAGATGTTGAGCTTCCTTACAGTAATGGAATCGCTGCTGGGTGGTTAGAATAGAGATGCCCTACTACTGATATAAAGTGAGCACATCTACTCTAGAGACCTCATCTGAAGTCATGGAAAAAGATTCCAGGCAATCGTGTTCCTGATAATGATGGAGCCCGAAATAAGGCATTCCACGCATAAGTATCCTCTGTGAAGCCCCAGACTGGTTCCTGCACACTTCTCCCATTTATTCCAGTGGGCAAAAAAAATAAAAACAGAACTGTCAGCTGAAACATTGACAGATCATACATACAAATGCTCTCACTCTAACCACTTCTGTTGCAGTGGAGCTCTGGCTGGCACAAAATGTGACAGATTGTTCTGCTTATCTGAAGAAATACACTAGGTGGATCCAGATAGACAGGACAGTCTCAGTACAGTGAATGGAGCATAAACATCCATGAAGAAACACTTATCAGTAAAAAGACAGGAAAAAGTCTGACTTAATTGAGCATATTCTGTTATTTGGATCTGTAGTATGAGGTAACTTTAAAGCAAAATTTTAACCACAGTTATTCAAAAGACTATTCTCCCCGCCCCCCAGGAAAAAAATTCAGGATTTTGGATTTTCATCACTCTATGATATCCATTCAGGCCATCAGATTGACATTACATACCTATAAAAATCTCTTAATGTTCTCTTAATAGGAAAGAAAGGAAAAAATTTAATGACATATAATGTCAAATCACTGGCTTTGGAAGATGGCTCTTGCCCATCTCTACTCTTCAGACAAAAATCTTCAGTTGAATAGGACTCATGGGGACTCTTTGGAGATTCGTTTTCAACAAAGGGAAAGGCTATTGAGGACGTAAGAATTCAGGGATGGGCTTGTTGGTAAGATAACTGTGGACAGTATTATATCAATTGCACACACCTATCAGTTCAGTTAGAACTCTTGAATAAGATTATAGTCAGGCTTTGTGCCAATGAATAGTTAAAACCCACTGAGCACAATACAACTTAAACTCCTTCAGGATCCAACAGTCAGAGATTCAGAGTCATTAACAGATTATTCTTTTATCTAAAAGGTAACTCTCACTCAGAAGCATTAATCAAAAAGATTTTACCTTCTGTGAAAGGCAGCACTTCCTGTGGAGAGACAAACTTGTGGAATGAGTCATCTTCGTTAAGGAACTGTAAGAGAGAATGGGAGAGGCATGAGCCTAATGAAAACTTTTGGGTTGGATTCATTTTGTGTTCTTTCTGTGGGTGCCTCTTTTGTTTTGGGGTCATTCATGTGCTGCCTTTTTTATTACTCACAGGAGAGGCTGCTTATTCTGAGTTTTTTTCCCCTGCTGGCATTTGCCCAAAGACCTCTCAAAAACCCATAACAACTCCTCTGAAAAAGCAGGGGCAAGGCAAGGTGGTAATCATCTACTCCAGAAACAGGCAACAACAATTAAAAAACAAACCCCCCCACACAATAATCACCAGACTGATTAAGGAACTACAGTACTTCATTCACATTATCCCACCAGAATCATCATTGTCAAATCATTATCAATTTACTGACAGGCAACAGTTCAGGTAAGAAAGGAAAACTATGTGGTCATTTTCTGAGCCTGCAGCCTCTGTGTGGCCCAGCCACACCACAACCCCCCATAGAGGGTGGCTGGGTGGGGAAGCTTCCTTCAGAGTCCACTCCTGTGCAGAAGAGAAAACCTTCTTTGCTGCCAGCTGGCCTCCTGCCTTTTACCCACTGGAGCTGCCACCCTGCTGCTGCCTCACAATATAAATCTTCTTCTGCCAACTTTGCTGCTGCATGAGTGTGGTTGTAATGCCAGCTCATGCACAACCCCCCATAGAGGGTGGCTGGGTGGGGAAGCTTCCTTCAGAGTCCACTCCTGTGCAGAAGAGAAAACCTTCTTTGCTGCCAGCTGGCCTCCTGCCTTTTACCCACTGGAGCTGCCACCCTGCTGCTGCCTCACAATATAAATCTTCTTCTGCCAACTTTGCTGCTGCATGAGTGTGGTTGTAATGCCAGCTCATGCATGAGGCCAAGAGGAATTTCAGATCCTCCCCCCCCCCAACTAATTCAGGCCTTGCACAACTTGCATATAACAAACTGGTAGTCTGCCTCCTTAATTTGCCAGCCTGTCTTTCACCCATACATGAAAAACTTGTGGCCTAAGCCTTGATGTTGAGGTTATGGGAGAGGACATGACCCCCCCACACACACACCATCCAGGAGAAGAAGACCCCCTTCCAGCACCTTGCTCTTCCTCTCTTCCCAGTCACAACTAAATCAGTCTCCCCAGGAGCAGAGGAAGGACTAGTCACAGATGGCTGGACAGAACATAAGAGCAGCCCTGCTGGATCAGGCCAAGGGCCCATCTAGTCCAGCTTCCTGTGTCTCACTGTGGCTCCATCAGATGCCTCTGGGAGCACACGAGATAACTAGATACCTGTCTCCTGATACCCCTCCCCTGCATCTGGCATTTTGAGGTACTTTTCTTTTAAGCCTGGAGATTATACATCCCTATCATGGCTTGTAACCTGCGATGGACTTTTCCTCCAGCAATCTGTCTAATCCCCTTTTAAAGGCATCTAGGCCAGATGCCATCATCACATCCTGTGGCAAGGAGTTCCACAGACTTAACAACACACTGGGTCAAGAAATATTTTCTTTTGTCTGCTCTCACTCTCCCAACACTTAGTTTGAGTGGCTCTTCCCCTGAGCTCAGCTCAATCTACTGAGGAAAAGTGGTGGTCCTGGTGGATGGTCTCCACTTTGTGTTTGAAAAATGCTGCAAATTGGTCACAGGAAATACTACTGGGAGGCCTATCATTGTGTCCAGTCCTGGATAAATCACGTACTGTCCAAAATAATTCAGCCTGGTGGTTTTTAGCTTTGCTTATCCAGGCAGGGATGAAAGATCTTGTGTCTTTCACCTTGGCTAGATAGATACTTGACACAATTTTTGCAGCCTTTAAATTAGATTTCCTCGGGGACCTGCCTCCAAATGTTCTCTACTGGGAGGCCTATCATTGTGTCCAGTCCTGGATAAATCACGTACTGTCCAAAATAATTCAGCCTGGTGGTTTTTAGCTTTGCTTATCCAGGCAGGGATGAAAGATCTTGTGTCTTTCACCTTGGCTAGATAGATACTTGACACAATTTTTGCAGCCTTTAAATTAGATTCCCTTGGGGACCTGCCTCCAAATGCTCTGGTGTGGTGACCAGAAATGTACGCAATACTCCAGGTGTGGCCTTACCAGAGTTTTGTAGAATGGCATTATAATGTTGGTTGTTTTATTTTCAACCCCCTTTTTAATGAAACCTAGCATGGAATTGGCCTTCTTCACTGCCACTGCACACTGGCGTTGACACTTTCATCCAACTGTCCACCAGCACACCAAGATTTCTTTTCTGATTTGTCATGGACAGCTCAGAACCTATTAGTTGATAAATAAAGTTTTGATTCCCCCCCCCATGTGCATTACTTCACATTTTCTCAAACTGAAATGCATTTGCCATTTTGCCACCCATTCTCCCAAATTTGGAGAGATCCTTCTGGAGCTTCTCACAATTCCTTCTGGTCTTCAGCACCTGGAAAAGTTTTGTTTCATCTGCAAACTTGGCCACCTCACTGCTTATCCCTGTCTCCAGGTCATTTATGAACAGGTTAAAAAGCACCAATCCCAGGACAGATCGCTGGGGCACATCAGTTTTCACCTCTCTCCATTGTGGAAACCGATCTAGCTAGAGGCCAGAGATGACCTCCCAGGTTCTCTCCAATGTCCTCCGCTAACACCTTGACCATCAATTCCCCTAACCCCAGGGAGGTCTGCTCTCTCTGAGCCTGGGTGGAACTTTTGCTACCTTCTGCGTGTAACCTTTGAGAAGCAGAAGGTAGGGGCAATGCAGGAAGGTCCCAGGTCACCACCTCTGAAGCAGAAGGGCTGGGCTGGGCTATGGCACTGCCATTCTGGTACCAGTGGCAGCAGAGGCCTGATCCCCCTCCACAGGCCCTCTGGTCTGCTCCTATGCAACCTTTAAGCCCTCTTCCTGGCAGGTGTCACACACTCATGCAGAATCCTCTTCCTGGCACCAACCTGAGCACCACATCCTACCACTCATCATCCTTCCCTAAGCCTGACAAACACAGTTTTTAAAAGTTGTATACAAGTAGTTCTCACACTAACACATACCACATTAGTCTAACTTGCAGTACAGTCATAGACCAGCCATCCTAGTCAGCAGCACCACTCATTTCTCTGGCCAAACAGTGCTCACCTGCCAGCCACCCACCCACCCAGACTATCTGGAAATCAGAAAGTACTTAAGAAGAGCTACTATCCTAGAAGACAACCCCCACCACCATTGAGGTAGGGCAGGCTTGGCCTTTCCCCTCACAGCTAGGCCTCTCTAGGCCAATTCTCAAAGCAGCAAAAATCTCCGACCACAGAACAAAAGCAGATAAAGCCTGTGCGCATGAGTGAAACGAAGATGCCCCCATCCAAGAAGATGGAACCCCATCGGTAGCATCTACCTACCAGGCAGTAGTCCACCACCACAATTATGCAACAGGACAAAACAGGCAAACTAAATAGCCAATACATACAGTCCAACTCTAAGCAGAACAAATATAAAACTCTATATCCTCCCCTAAAGGAAGCCACAGGCTTGAGTCTGCAAGAGTTGAGCAGGACTGCTGAGGACAGGACATTTTGGAGATTGCTCATTCATGAAGTCACCAGAACTCGGGAGCATCTTGATGGCACATAACAACAACAACAACAACAACAACAACAACAACAACATCAAGAGATACCCTGTTATCCAACACAGTAAAGATATGCACCCTTCCCACCAGGGCGAAAAATATCAGAAGGAAAACACAAACGGCCCTCTTTCCCAAAAACCAGAATTTAAAATCATGAAACATAAGAACAGAAAATAAACAGAGTCAAATCTGACACCCTTAATCCCTTGTATATGGGACTGAGGATTACTCCCTGCACTACCACTTTGATGCCTTAGCCCAGCAGCAAAACATCCAGAGTAGGCAGGCACAAAATTCACAGCAGTATACTCCAAAATGGAAAGGCAGGGAGACTAATGTGAGGACAACGATCCAACCCAGTCCAAAATGGAGGGTGAGCCAAGGATCTCAGTATAGCCAAATCACACAATGATTTATCCTTGTGCTGCAGCACTGGCTTGCTTGCTCATATGCTGTCCTGGACACAGAGGTGAACACCTACCTGTGGTGTCAACTTAAACATCGGTGCACAGACAATGAGAGGGGTGGAGTGATGTTTGGCTGCCAATGCCATCGTATGTGTCCCACTGACAGCTATTAAAGCACCATTGGCCAGAATAGTCTTTGTTCCAATAATAACCTGCAAAATACCAGTGAATGAAACATACAAACTGCAGTATGGAAAATATATCGGTATCTACTTTTGTGGCATGCTATGGCACAATGATTAAGATCTTGTTGCTTAGTGTAGTAGGTCACACTAGAGTAAGCCCGTTGAATCAGTGGGGATTTAGTGAACCAAGGCCTCCTTCGCCTGGCCCCCTCCCTGTGGACATTCAGGAGGCAAGACACGGCTTTTCAGAGAGGTTTTCCACACTAACCCTAGCTGACTGCTTTTGTCTGCTACTTTTCTGCCTTATTGTTTTTGCACCATCTGTTTTTTATTGGTTAGTCGCTAAACTGGGTTTACAGGGCTCTAGTTTTATCTTGGTTTTGTTTTGTTTACTATTGTAAACTGCCCAAAATAGTGCTTTGGCTCTAATGGGAGCTGCATACAAATTTAAGTAATAAGTAATAAATGAGTAAGTTGCATTGATTCAAATTGGTCTATTCTACTTACAACTTTAGTATAGTAAGTTGCTGTTAGAGTAGGCCCATTTCTATCAATGTCACTTACATAGGAAATGACACTAAATCCCCATTGATTCAATGGGCCTACTCTAATGCATTTATTATGCTTAGCAACAGGGTTTTGACCAATTATTACTACTACTACTAAAACATACTAATGACTAAAACAAAAATGGAATTTTTATCATAGCAGGGTTTTGACCAATTATTACTACTACTAAAATATACTAATGACTAAACGAAAATGGAATTTTTATCATATCAAAAATGTTTATGCTTTACCATAAGTGGACTAACACAATTTAATTCTCCACCATGAAGATTCCCAGACATGATCCACACAGCTGACTCTGGTCTCCTACTCCTCTCCACCCCCATGTCTGCCCATGAAACTAAATAGGAAAAATGTGTTAGGTCATCCAGTTCTTACTCCTCACTACTTTTTGGTGGTGGAAAGATGGGTCCACCATAATGTGTTTTACAGCTGGAAAACAATGACTTCACAAGAACCATTTCATATTCTTCCAGAAATTAGCCTTCTGGGAATCAGAAACTCCTTTCAGCAGAGCTTTTACCAGCACCCCATCTGACAACCTGGAATTCTGCTGATCTGAACAATCAGCACATGGTCCAAAACTGATGGAGATAAAGTGTGCAAAACTTGTATCCCTTCAGATGTTGTTGGACAGCAATTCCTGTCATTCATCACCATTGAGTATACTGGTTAGGGCAAATAGGAGTTATAGTACAAAAGCATTTAGGAAACAATGTTGTCCATACACTGTCACCACCAGAGCAAATTTTGGGTGAATTTGGTTGCTCTAATCTTTATTTGTCTATAGCTGAGCAGGGCAGGTATCCCCTCTGTTCTGAATCTGCAGCATCCAAATACCTGGGGAGACACCATGTGCAAATAAAAATTCTACTTGAGTTGCAAGTCCCTTGTATTTCGTATCAAATATTTTAAAATTGCAGGTGGCTATATGTATAGATTTTCTTCCTAGCCTGCAGAAGGACCATGTGAGAGCCATGTAGGGTTTCTCACCCATGCTGCAGTTCAGGAACCAAAGGTTTTAATACATAGAGGAGGGGATAAAGACCAGAGCCAGCAGTTTAAGGGGATAAATGATGGGGAAGGGTGGAAGTGGCAAGGCAAAAGTATTAAAGAAAGAATGGGAGGTGCAAAAGAAGTTTCAGTGCAACATCTGGGTCAACAGGGCTGCTGAGCCAAAGAGTGGGTCACAGTGTGTGGTATGCAGAAGTATGGCAGCACAGGCGTCCACATGCTGGGGAGAGAAGTATAGCACTCAACCAAGCAGACAGTGGGGGGAGGGAAGGACAGGACCCTCTGGTGCACAAAGTGCAGAACTCAGATCAATTTGTCCCCAGTTCAGAGGACAATACTCAGAGCAAGGTCAGGAGTAAGAAAACAAGCTGGGAAAAAGAAGCCTGCTGCCAATCTCAGGCAAATGACTTCTGCAACTCATTCCCCTCTTGGAACCTTGTAAGCCAGCCCATGACACTTACCTTGTTAACACGAGACATGACAGCAAAGATAGCTGCATCACTCATGACTGTGGTTTCTATATTCTCTTTAGATAAACGGACGGCCATTTCATGACCCTACCAAAAAGAGACAGAGAAAGGTTTTTCACAAGAAAGGAAAGCTGGTGAGCTAGACTTTCTTATCGTCATGAATACACAGTTCATACCATCTGGTTAGTTCCTATCAGGGTTCCCACTAAGATCAGTATTTGATCAACTACATCTCTGCTTAATTCTGTCAATGGATTGTCAAAATCAGAAACTAGAAATATCCAAATATTACAGTTTTTAATAACTTTCATCAAGTATTTACTTAATGGTTTAGAAGTCCCTCAATACCAGTTATCATCACAAAGACTTATGTCAATCGATATTGACCATGTGCTGTGTGAAAAAATGTTTTCTTATATTTAACAATGTTGCCTACAAATTTCTTTTCTGGGTGAGATTATAATTTCTGATATTTAGTATTTTAAAATTTTCTCATTTTTGCTATTAATTATTTTATCAATTTGATGCTATCAAAATAAAATATCTCAAACTTTTTTCTTCAGAGTTAGCTGTCAGAGTCAGCTGTTAAAACAAAAGCACACAAAAAATACACAGGAGAGACTTGTCTGGATCAGCATTTCCCTTATTGGGAGTGGTAAAATAAGAAGCTTTTCCTATCTCATTTTCTGTTTACAAACTATATTATATTCTTCCGTAGTGTACTTATTATATTAGGGCTCCAATGAAAGCCATAAATGCCACACAAGTAAAGCTCAGAGAACAGGTCCTTACCTGGCAAAATGGTGCACATTCAGCCACAATGACATGGAATTTCCTTTTGCGAGCTGCCTCCTTCAGGAAGGCCTCCACTGTGCGAGAGTAGCCAATGGTCATGATCACCTCATTGGAGTGAATGTGCTCTAGTGCCTGCATTGCAATGTTGTCAGTTGTTCCCTCTGTAAGGAAAATAAATCCAAACATGAAAGGAGAGATGTTTCTTTCACTGAGCATTAAGCAGACAACATGACATCAGCTGTCAGTTCTTAATGTCTCATACTAATGTCTGTCTACAAAAGATTTCTGATCCAGGGCCAGAACTTACCCATAGTAAGCATTTTACTGTGAGTTATCTGCAAACAGATACAAAATCATCTGTTTTACACATCCTGTTTTAATGTGAAGTCCTCGCATTAAAGCAGGCTATAGAGCAGCCACTGGCCCAGGACAGGAAGGTTCCTTACTGCTACCAACACTGCTGGTGACAGGGAAACAGCTCCCCATTTTAATGAAACCGCTGGAGTTACCCCCAACATTGCCAGCTGGCCAGTGTCAGAAAGCCTCCCAGCACTGGTTTGACAGTGATGCTGTTCTTGCCTGAGGGACAGCTTAAGCTACTCCATTTTTGCCAGATGTTGAGTACCAACCCAGTGCTGTCAGTAGCTGAGAAGCCTTCCACCACTGGCTAGCCAGTGATGGAAGCCATGGTGCTAATTTAAAAAGTGTGCATTGGTGCCATTCTTAAACTGTGCTATGGCTTCTGTCATGTGCTGTGACCAAAGGCACATATATGTAGTTATGGCTCAGGAGAGCATTCCCACTGACAGAATGGGGCGGGGCAATCGTCAGTTCTGTCTCCACAGAATAGCTGCTGCTCAGAGTTGGGAGACCCCCAGAACAGTGGAGGAGATGGCACTGGAGCCATAAAGGGAGTGTGGAATCAACAAAGATTCTCTGCCACCCTCTTTCCCACCAGTGGGAACATTCTCAGTGGAATTCCACTCAGGTATACTCCCACAAGCAGAAAATAGCTTGGATCCAATAGCTAGATAGTACTTAAGGCTCACAATTCAAAAAGACATGTCTGTTCTTACATGATTGCCCACTGCACATTAGAAACATAATTTTTACTATCAGATGCTGTTCCAGTCTTCAGTCTGGCCAGGCTATGTCTTTTCCACTCAAGACATACTGAACCATGAAGGCTTTTTATGTTGCTTAGGTCGAGTCAGATGATGGGGGGGAAATTTACGATAGTTTCACTACTGATTTTTTTAAAAGATTGGAAGAGAAACTAATGCAGTGATTTACAATGAATTACTGTTGGAACTCTCTCTTTAATTTTACTAGTGACTTTATGTTGCTATTTCCATTAAAATGTTAGTCTGTCTCACCTAGTTCAATCAACAGCTCACTAATAGCTTCAATGATGTTGGCCCTAAGTGGGGCATAGTAGGTGTTGAAATCCTCATTGAGACCTCCTGAGGTCAGAAGTTTGTGCAGTGACTCTTGCTGGTCTCCCTCTTCACTGCGTCCTCGGAGCCTGTGGAATAAACATATCCTGTTAATCCGGGGGAGAAAAAAACCTGCAAAAAATGTAATCCTGAAGAATAATTAGTTACATGCAATATGATTTCCCATGCAAAAGGACTATTTTATTTATGAACATTCATGAACTATCAGGTAGCTGCTTTTTGTCACAATTAATCTGTGCGCTATGTGCTGTCAAACTGATTTCCATTTGTGGCAACCTGAATTGGGTTTCCAAGGAAGGGGAAATAGTTAATGACTAGGTTTACAAAGAGCCACTCACTCCCCAGTGAGTTGCCCTATCTGAGTGGGGATTTGAACCCAAAGTCTCCTGTGTCCTAATCCAACACCCACTCACTCCCCAGTGAGTTGCCCTATCTAAGTGGGGATTTGAACCCAAAGTCTTTCCGCTACACTATACTGGCTGTCATAATACAATTAATATAACACATTGAAAATCCAAGAGTATCAGAACAGGAAGATATAAAGCAAACACAAGCACACTCACCTGCCGTACTCTTCACGAATTATCTTCAGCACTCGTCTCACCATGTTACCCACCGTGGTCTCAGACGGTTGGGCAGCAGTCATTCTCTTGCCCTCCTTACGTATCAATTCCATGAGCTCTCCTGAAAGATTGGGTGAAGGAGTTGTGGTAATTCTCTTTCAAAGTTCATTACCTGCATACAGTGGAATACAGCTACTCCCTGATAGTACATATCACTCTGGATTTTTCAACATGTGTGTTCCTCTGCTCTCTCACACAGCTTGAAGGGACCAACACAGCCTATGTGATACACCACACTGCACTCCCAACCTATCAGCTGGAGTTATACAATAACTCCATTTGATAGGTATATATTTATACAAAGTTCATTACCTGCATACAGTGGAATACAGCTACTCCCTGATAGTACATATCACTCTGGATTTTTCAACATGTGTGTTCCTCTGCTCTCTCACACAGCTTGAAGGGACCAACACAGCCTATGTGATACACCACACTGCACTCCCAACCTATCAGCTGGAGTTATACAATAACTCCATCTGATAGGTATATATGTATATACAGTACTGTACAGACTAATACTCACACATATGTGTGAATGTGAGAGAGAGAATCTATTTATACATCAGCAATTAAGATCAGACCCTTTGCTTGGTGATATCAACCAGTTAACCCAAATCAAGATGACAGCTGAAAAAAGGAAGAAAGAAAAAAGCAAACCTTCACAGTGTACTTCATAGATTAAGATCAGGTTAAAAACAGTCTAGACTGACGCAATGGACGCCAAGGCTTCTGTATTCTGATAGATGTAAGGGTGGCGGTGGGGGGGGCACCTGGCATAATTATATCTTCGGATGCTCTCTCTCACAACTGTAGCTGCATTTGGAGAGGTATTAAAGCAACTGATCGAAATGAGATCGTGATGACGGCCTTTATATTTCATTTAACGAAAGCATCGTCTCAAGGAAAAGGATAGGGAAGACAGTTTCTAAACTTGAGCATCGCCTTCGTGTGTGTCATGAAGAACTGAATATCTAACACCCCCCATACACGCGCCCAATTTCTCACCCGCATTATCCCAGCGCCCGTTCGCCACGATCCTCCGCAACAGCCCCACCGTTTGCCGAGCAGCCTCCTCCGAGCGCGGCCGCTTCCCACCTCGCTTCAGGAGCGCCACAAAATCCTCGATCTGACCAGAGAGCTCCGACTCCTTCTTCGTTATCGCGGCCGACATCCCGGCAACTTTGCCTGAAGACTGGGAAGGGGAAATCTGTTTCTCTGGGACCAAAAAGGAAAAGGATGGTGTAGCTAGTCGGACCGTGGCACAGAAGAGCACGTTTTTCCGGGAGAGGTCCGCTTGCCATTGGACGAGCGAACACGGTGCCTTCCCTTGTGTAGATCCGGACGTCCAATCGAGAGCGAGAGAGGTGTGTTGGGGGAACGAAGCCTCGGGCTGCGAGGAGCGAAAGAGCGGGGATGCCGCGCACCCTTGTTTTTTCTTTTTCTTTTTCTTGCCAGGCTGTAGAAACAGGTGGGTTGGTTGCTCAGCTGTAGCTGAATGTTAAAAGGACAGAAGTCACGTCCACAAAAGAATGGCTTAACTTGAATGTTGACCTTTGTAATGTAGAAATTGAGATACTTAAATATTTTGTATCTCTTGGTTCCGCCATCGATCCAAGTGGAGATTACAGCTAAGAAATCAGAAGAAAACGGACGTGCAATGGCGGCTATGAAGGGACTAGAAAATATCCTCCAGTGTAAGGATGTGTTACTGGAACCGATTCCTATTCCTGATTAATGTGTAAAGATGTGAAAACTCAACCCCCCCAAAAAACCCACCAGAAAAAAAAATCCACTTGAAATGTGGTGTCAAACGAGAGCTTTTCAGATACCAGACTCCTGAAAGAAGAAATAAGTGGGTGCTGAATTAAATAAAGCGTTAGCTCTCTGTAGAAGCAAAAATTACTGAAAGCCTGTCATACTTCAGGCACTGCATGAGAAGACCAGGCTCACTGGAAAAGACTAATAGCAGAAAAAGTTGAAGGCTATAGGAAAATAGGAAACCAATAAGAGATGTATTGAATCAATAAAGAAGTTACAGTCTTGAGTTCAGCAGAACTGTTAAGGATAAGGCTTTTGGGAGGTCACTAATTCATAGGGTCGCTAGAAGTTGGAAGCTACTTGATAGCACTTAATAACAACTCTCGTGAGCCCCATCCAATGTTGTCCACTGTGAGGGATTGTTGGTTCGCTCACAGAGTTTTAGTCCAAAAATGGACTTTTATTTCTTTTTATTTTATTTATTTATTTTATTTATATGCCGCCCACACTACCCAAAGGTCTCTGGGTGGCTTAAAACATTTACAACTTTGGCTGGAAGGCAAAGGGTTTGCCATCTCTATTTTAAGATTTATGTCACACCAACACATAACGCTTGTTTTATAATAGGACCATAGAACTCCACCCACACATTTTCCTTCTGAGATGTCACTGTTCTTTGACATAGGCTGATGGAAGCTGCATCTATTTCTGCATAGCCTGTAGCTTTAAAGAAAGAGTGGTCCTTGGAGTTTTTAAAACTTGAACAGGTGTTTATCTTAACAGTTTGCTTACTTTATTATTATGGTACCTTAAAAGGAAGACCTGTATCAAGGAAGATCCAAAACTTGATTTTAAATCAGCAATGAAATAATAAAATTACGTGTAAAATATAATTACTGTCTGAGATGTCACTGTTCTTTGACATAGGCTGATGGAAGCTGCATCTATTTCTGCATAGCCTGTAGCTTTAAAGAAAGAGTGGTCCTTGGAGTTTTTAAAACTTGAACAGGTGTTTATCTTAACAGTTTGCTTACTTTATTATTATGGTACCTTAAAAGGAAGACCTGTATCAAGGAAGATCCAAAACTTGATTTTAAATCAGCAATAAAATAATGAAATTACGTGTAAAATATAATTAATAACCATCACTTAACAACTTCCAAAACATTCTGTCCTCAATTGCCCTGCTCATGTCTTGCCAACTTAAAGCTGTGCCTTCCCTTATTTACCTAATCTAGCTCATGTCCAGTCCTCCCCGACCCGCCCTTGACTTTTCTCAGCATTATTGTCTTTTCCAGTGAGTTCTGATTTCTCCTGATATAGCCAAAGGACAATAGCCTCCCTTGAACCATTTTAGTTTCTAGTGAGATTGCAGGCTTGATTCAACCTAATACCCATTTATGTGTCTTTCTGGTGGCCCATCGTATTTGTGAAACTCTTCTCCAACACCATGTTTCAATGGAATTTTTTTTTTCCTGCCAGCTTTCTTGTCCAGCTTTCTCATCCATACAGAGTAATCAGGAACTGTTGTGGATGATATTTTAGTGGTTCAGGAAAGGAAGTGCCCAATTCTGATTTTGGATGTTGTCTCCATATTTACTGAATTTTTTGTGTTTGTCTACATACCACATAGTTGTGCTTCTTTTGTATTTAGATTACAGTAGATAAAACCAGACAACCAGAGCTCTGTAATAACAGTGCCTGACAAATCCCAGTTGACAGTGAACACGGTCAAGGGTCCCTGGGCAAGAAAGTACATTCCAGACCACTTGCTAGCTCACTGTTTTCTCCAGCAGGCATGTGAACAGAGTTTCAGCAGTTCATCTTCAGTGGCTGACAGCTGCAGTTTATCAGATGGTTGAGCTGTAAGACTGGTAAAGCTGCACCTGCTTAAAAAAAACGGGCAAACTCAATTATGAGAACAATGCTTTTTCTATACTGCCCAGTTTGCCTGAGGCAGTAAAGAAGAAAGATTTGATGAAGCAGGGAAGCACTGGACAGCTGACCAGGGTGAGTGAAGGCCGTGAGAAAGAGTATCTGAGATGAGAATGTACAAAGAAGCAAAGTTGTTTGTCTCCAGCTTTGTGCCTATTTTTAATATTTTTCTCCTTTTATGTCTATCTTTCAAATAGGCACACTTATCATAGATGTTTTTGGTGCTTGATCAGATTACAAGATTACTTGGGTCTTCGTTTAGATCTGAGGGGTACAGATGGCTAAACTATAGTTTAAAAATTGGACTATAATGGGCCCACTGAATCAATGGGAATTTGGTAAGTTCCATTGATTCTAATGGGCCTACTCTAATTGCAGCTTACTTACAAAGTGATTTACTTTAGCACAGTAAGTTGAATCAATGGAATTTAAGGAGGAGTTAATTCACCAAATCCTGGCTGATTCTATGGGCCCACTCTAGTGCAATTTACTATGATAAGAAACAAGATTTTGGTTACTGTTTAACTTTCCAGTTGAAAATATTTTATACGTATGGCCAGAGGAAAATAATCTTAGAACTTCAGAGCTGGAAGGGACCCTAAGGATCATCAAGTCCAGCCTCTGTGAGGGAGGCATACTGGGGAATTTAACTCCCAGCCTCTGGCTCTGCAACCAGAGACCTAAACCAGTAAACTATCCAGCAATTTTAAAACAGAGGAATATGTACATTGTTGTCCATTACTGTGTTTAATGATCCAACAGCTAATTGTTACAGCCCTTTGAGGATTTTCATTAAAATTTGCTTCCTGATGACAGGCTTAGATGAATGGCAGCTGTTAGGACATTTGTCTTTGTTGTAGCAATTTACAGAAACTGATACAAATTTGTTTAGTTGGCTGCCAAAGTGGAGTATGCCTGCTAAAGTGCGGTTGCTAATGTGGTTACTACATAGGTAGAGGACATTACCAGTCCAAGATGTATTAGTCTTTTAGAAATACCATAATGGACCAGGGCATAAGTCTCTCTGATTCTGTTTCCTCTAGTGGCTAACTAGATGCCTGTGGGAAGTCTATATTTGATCATGTTCCCCATCAACTAATATTCAGAGACACACAGCCTTTGGTCCAGATCTTAGTATGTAGCCATCATGACTGGCAACCACTGATAACCTTAGCTCACCTTTTCTTTTTGTGTTGTTACAGCCACCATATATTTTGGTGATAGTTGTATCTTTACTTCATGTGCTATGTGAACAAGTGCTGCCTTTTGCCTGTTTCGAATCTTCCACCATTCAGCTTTGTTGGATTCTCCTATTATGAGAAGAGGAAAACACCTTTTTTTGGTATCCACACTATTTAATATACTTTTATAATATTTCCTTTACTTGATTTTCTTCCTGGCTATCATAGTCTCCTCGCCCTCACTATTGTACCCTTCTCCTGTAGGAGAGTTGCTCCAGCCCTAAGTTATTTTTGGTAATCTTTTCTGCAGTATTTTTTTAAAAATTAATATCCTTCTTGAGGTGCAGCAACCAGAGAATATAGCTCAGCATAGTGATTGTTTTGTTTTTGATTCCTTTCCTTAAAATCTCTTACTTGAAATACACCTTTTCTGCAACTGCTGCAAATGGGTTAACAACACTTTGGAGCTTGCTGATAGCTAACTGACTGATCAGACCCATCAGCAAATATGTGACATGAGCAATTTTTTTGTCCCATGAATTAACACTTAGGGCTCTTCCAGAGAAGGCAGGAGTTTTGCCCTCATTGGCCATGCTTGTTTGCTGTGCAACTTGGTGTAGAGGAAGGCTAAGCAGGATTCATATCCAAACTGGACTTCTAAGAGACACATGACAGGAAGTGCTTCTACTTGGGAAATCTTTGACATCTTTGGGAGATCCCTACTTGAAATGCATACCCATGCTATACGTTTTCTCCAGATATTTTTAATGATGTGCTAAAGTAAACCAAATTGAGAGATTTTATGCAGAAATGCTTACTAAAAGTACCATCACAGTAAATTCTGCTCCATGGAATAAACCCCCAGAATAAAATAAAAGGTGAAGGCTAGGGGCACAAAAAATCTCAAGGAAGCATAGTTTTTTGTTGTTGTTGTTACCAGTATATTATTATATTATATGGATGGTGGGAAAAATATCACCATCAGTGCTGAATTATTTACTTTTACAGCAACAAATGCTCCATCTAGATAAGTCCTTCCTGAAACCTGGAAGGACAGTAATGAAGGAATTAGAAAATATAATCACGTATAAGGATGTGTCACTGGAGATCAAGACCAAGATCCTTCACACTGTTGTATTTCCAATCATCATGTATGAGTGCAAAAGCTAGATAGTAAAGAACTCTTTATGGATTGCTGCCTTGTCATGGTGAAGGGGCTTGAGTAATTCAGAGAAGCTATGGGTATGCCAAGCAGGGACACCCAAGATGGACAGATCATAGTGGAGAGTTCTGACTAAACGTGATCCAACTGGAGCAGGAACTGGCAAAGCACTCCAGTATCTTTGCCAAGAAAACTCCATGGACAGAAACAAAAGGCTGAAAGATATGGTGCTGGAAGATGAGCCCCTCAGGTCGGAAGGTGTCCAACATGCTACTGAGGAAGAGCGGAGGACAAGTACAAGTAGCTCCAGAGCTAATGAAGTGGTTGGGCCAATGCCGAAAGGACGCTCAG